TGTATAGGGCACCGAAGGACTGTCAGTACCTCGTCTGTTTGCCAACATCCGCTTCACCTTCATCTGATGTCTTTTACCGTCACTCTGCTGAACTCACAGTACCCATCAGGAACTTCAGCTGACAGGCTGAGTTTGAGTGCCTGAAAAATTCAGGAGCCCAACTGTTGAGGAACAGAGGGTGCTGAAGACAAACTGCAGAAGAGTAACTGTAGATCATTCTTGCAGTTTTTTTTAAAAAAAGAAAACATCTCAAAGGAGTACAGATGGAACGATAACCCCTTTTTTTCTGATGCCGATGAGCGTTGATTATTACTGAAATTATAATTTTTCCTTAGAAACTAATAAGGTTTAAAATGAGCTGTTTTTAATTGAAGCTCTTCTTAACCGTCTGATCACACACCGTGACTAACCCTGAAACCGTAACAACCCCACCCATCAGTACTGACATGCCTTCTCTAGAAAGGCCTAGTTTGTCAATGAGGCTACGTTCACACGGCAGGTAAAAGTGGCCGAGATCTGATTTTCTCGCCAAATCTGATTTTTTTGTTAGGCTGTTCACGGTATCTTTTAAATGTGACTCATATGTGACATCAGTCTGAACAGATTGGCTCCTAAACTGACCCACGTGCGCAAAAGAGCAATGCTTGACTGTGGCGTCAAATCCAATCCAAAATTCGCAAGCAAGAAAAAACGCTCTTGCGCGAGGAAAACTGCTCTTGCGCGTGAGGAAAACCCCTCGCTTGCTCAAAGAGAACTACTCGCACAAGGAAAACCGCAAATTAGCCCGACACTCAACTGTTTTTCTTTCTTCTCGCCATTGAGCTTCTGGTCACGCAAGAGTTTAATTCATTTTTGACAGCTGTGGGCGGTTCCCAACATAGGATTGGTTACTACTGATTTCTGGAACTGTGTTGTGATTACTGAACATTCACAAAGACAGAATGAAGCGATTACAGGCCGCTGTTCGGCCACTGGCGGACACTGAAGGTCATCCTCTAGAGTGAAAGTCCTGTTCCCGTTTTTTTTAAGCAGCAAAAGCTCTGACGACCACTGACAGCCAGCCAATCACAACACAGTTCCAGATATCAGCAGTAACCAATCATATGTCGGGACCCGCCCACGGCTGTCAAAAACGAATTAAACTCTTGCGTGAGCAGAAGCTCAATAGCGAGCAGAAAGAACAGTCGAGTGTCAGGCTAATTTTCCTTGCGCGTGAGAGTAGTTTTCCTTGCGCGAGAGCGGTTTTGCTTGCTTGCGAATACTGGATTTGATGCCGTACTTCAGGTTGCTATACCTGGCGCCCTCATCCAGAGGTAAACAATCATGACTGCCAAACGAACACCAGTCGCTCCCGGAGGATTCAGTTTCATCACAGGAGCCATCATTAAGCTTCATTGACTGACAGCTCGGCTCATCACCCAGAATGTGTTCAAGCTCGCCGTGAAAAGGGCGCGGTCACTTCTTTGGTTTGTGTCCTTGGATTTGCTTTTAGACTTTCGCCTGTTCTCCTCCGGGCCGCCATTTTTTCGAAATCTCTTCGAACACTGAGGGGTTTTGGATACGTCTCTTCTAATTGTTTGTACAGAAACATCAGCCTAAATGTTTATGAGGTCTTAGCAGTACGAAATGATGTCGGATGTGGAGTTGGATTGACGTAAAAGTCGCATAAATGTCGTCTGGCTGTTCAGACTGAGTTTGAATCGAATCGGATACGGATCGGATTTAAGTACCGCATATGAAAGCGTCTAAAATCGGAATTGAAAATGTCAGATTCAGTGTTTTTTGCTGTTCACGACTGCCATACAGAGAACACATCTGTGTCACTTACGAAGAAAAAGATCGGATTTGGACCTGCTGTGTGAACAGAGCCTAAATGAAGCATACACAGTATCGCCCTGACTCCAGATGCAGTCGATTAGCCAAGACTTGTTTGGTGTCTGAGGATTTACACTGGAGCTGCGAGGCTAATGTGCTAACAAGTGATGGAAGCCTATAGCCCTCCAATTAGCATCGCACCTTAAACCGTACTGTGTTGTTGAGTAATCTCAAACAGACTTACAGTGGTTTTGACACTGTTTGACATGCTTTTGGACAAAGTACATCACAGCTAAATGTAGTTGCAGCAGCAATATTCAAGCCTGAATTTGACTATATGGACCACATGCCAGACGTCCAACCCATTGGCACTGATGACCGCCACAAGAGAGGGCGGGGAAGGGCGACTGGCACTGACCATTCTACCGAATTGCTTCCAAAACCCATTTGGGCTTTTAACTGACTTGGACTTTAGCCTAAAATCCTTTTGCTTTGAGTGACTCTAGAACTGAATTATGTTTATTTTATTAAACCATATGGGGAATATTCTCTTTTGTCATTACCAAAACGATCATAGCACTGAAACTTTAGCAAACATTTCGGCTCACTCTCACAAAAGAGGGTTCTATATAGAACCATAAACACTCAAAGAACCCTTTGCATGATTAACGAGTTCTTTGCATCATGAAAGCGTTCTTCAGATTACAGATCACAGAGTGTTCTACATAGAGACGTTTTGAAACGTGTTCATTGTTATGATGTCAAGCCTGTAACAATAGAACCCTTTATGGTGCTATATGGGACCCTTTTCAAAAAGGTTCTGTATGGAATCATCTACAGCACGTTCTCCACCAATCTGAAGAACGCGTTCACCATGCAAAGTGTTCTTTGAGTGTTCGTAGTTCTATATAGAGCCATTTTTGTTACTAAAGAACCCTTGAAGAACCATCTTTTTAAGTGTGTAGTGATTGTTTCAGTAGTAGTGGTGCGATTTTAGCTAATTTTGAGCAGAACTCAGAAATGCTAGCCAGTACATGACCAGCAAACACAGCTTTGAAAAGTTATACACACATAAAATCATAATAGTTTTCATTAAAACACAAAAAAGTTGCAGAAAATTTGTTTCAGTAGTGACAGTTCTTAATGTTCCACACTGATTTTCAGACTTTGGGACACATTTACTTCAAAACAGTGGGATCTAACTGCTCACCATGTGGCCATGAGGGACAGGGATGCAGCCTCACTTCCTGCTCTAAAATGCAGGGGCGTGGCTAAAATAAGTCTCCGCCTACAGACTAAAGCTCGGTGTTTTTTTCGGTAGTGACATGAAAAATGGGACATATGATAAATCTAAATCTTTAATCTCAGCTTTAAAAGACATCCACATTTTATTTAATGATTTAATTATTATTACTGTCAAAAGTGTAGATTTAGGTGGTTTGAGACAGACACCTTCCAGTAGAAAGTACCCTGTAAATAATGGATTAATAACTATCTTAATTGTGTTCAGTTTACATAGATCCGACCACGATCCTTATATAACATCTGCATACTTAATTGTTTTAAATTCTAAACTGTTCTGTTTTTAAAAAGTCATTTTTTTACTGTGGGTGGCATTTTAAACTAATAAGATTGAATGGTTCATATAGGCCAAGTCCCATTTCTTATTTTTACCCCTACCCATTGTTTCCGAGTGTCTCCTTGCCCCTTGGAACTGAGTTACAGGGGTAGTGGTTGAAATCTTCCTCTATGAAATGGGACCCTCAAAAAAAAAGGGCATCACTTCATTAACAGCTACTAGCGCTGCTCTGTAGGTGACCCTGCCAGTCTGCAGTGACAGCAGAGGAGGGTAAAGTTCAGCTCCTCACTGCTGGGCTTCAGTTACATTTAGGGCATCATATGCCTTCAAAGAGGGGGGCAATTATTTATTATCACCCACCCCTAATTCTTCAGTGATATGAAGCTGAAGTCAGATATTCACCAGATTCTCGTTCCACCTTAAATGGAGCAGCAGTTACATTCTGGTGCTTCAGGCATCAGGACTGCTGGACTATTTAAGGTGGAATGGGAAAGTTAGCTAGCTAGCTACCAAGACATCAGCATGCTATTAGCATGAAGCCCTAACACTTCGCCCTACCCCTCTATCTCAACAAGAATCGGGACACCCTACCCCTAGACCTGAGCTAAGTGGGCTGAGTGGTAGGGGCGAGGGGTGAAATGGGATTCTTTGTTTATTGCCTTATTTTTTAGCCTCATATCTCCAACTTCAGACGGCAGACAAGTCTTGGCTATCAAATTTGGGAAACAAAGCTACCCACATATCTACAAGACTGTTCGTTTAAAGGTGCTCAGAATTTTCAAGATATAACCTTTGTAAGGTCTGCAAACAGTGGCAGCAGCGCTGACATGTGGTAGACGTGCCATACTGCACGCTCATCTCTACGTTAGTTAGACAGAGCTGGACGCGGAGCCCCTGTGGCCCTTGTTTGGCAGCCTGATTGCACGAGTCCAGATAACAAGCTTGCAAATTAGCACCGAAAGACTGATTGTAACACCCTCGATGATAATAGATTGTCCTGCGCCGAGTGAGAATACAATATGGAATATAATTAGAATGGGGCACATTAGTGGCATAATTGGCGAAGCGGGGTGAAGATTGTTTGATCTGAGCGGAGTAATGTTGAAACAAGATAATGGCTCTGCATCTGTCCTACTGCACTCTCTCTCACCCTCTCTCTCTCTCTCTCTGAAACCCTCCGGTGTTAAATATAGAACCCCGGAGCTTAATTAGGATTATGGAGCCCATCAGCCGAGTCCATTAGCGAAGAACGAGAGAGAGACTGATCGAGGAAGAGGGAGATGATGGCAGACTCGTTAACACGATCTGGATTTGACTCGGCCGCTGGGGCTGAACGGATGGGCGCACGAACTACCAGTGGTCATAATGTCCGAGCTCATCAGGGGCTTTTCAGCGTCACTCAGACAGGTTTTAGATAAACAGATGACTTTGTACAGAATTTCCCATAACGTTTAATTCCTGTGCTCTGGCTGTAATTACAGTCGTACTTCTTACTCGAGCCTCGGGAAACGATTTGATTGTTGTTTTGTTTGCGTTTACTTCATATAAGAATTCATTTCTTGATGTCTGTGTAATTATCGTGTTTATTTGCTTGTTTGTCCCGCAGGGAAAGTGTTCATGGGCAACAAACAGGAAATAGCAGAGAACAGAATCCCTGAGCTCAACACGTATATGAAGGTGAGCGTCGTCAAGTCACTTTCAGAATGCTTTGATGTATGTAGACCGTGTTTATAAGTAAAAAGGCTATTTATGTACATTGTAATGAACGTCTAGTAAGGCTTCATTTGATGGCCTGCATATGGACCTCATTCAAAAACCTCTGCATTCCCTGAACTGCATGAAACGCTGACCAGCACGGCAGAGCCTCAAACCTTAAGAGCACTTAAACCTTAAGTCCATTGCTACCCTGAATATCCACTGATACCTTAACTTCATGGCTACCTTAAATCCACTGCCACTTTCAATTCCCCTGCTTCCTTAAATCAACTGGTACCCTAAATCTTCTGCTACCTTAAAATCCATCGATACCTTAAATCCGCTGCCACTTTAAATCTGCTGCCACCTTAAACGTCCTGCTATTTTAAATGTGTTGCTACCTTAAAATCACTGCTCCCTTAAATCCAGTGCCTCCTGAAATCCACTGCTGCTTTAAATTCACTGACACCTAAAATCTTTTGATTCCTTAAATCCACTGCTAGTATTAATCCACTGGTACCTTAAATCTTCTGATATCTTAAAGAACATTGGTACCTTTAATCCACTGCCACCTTAAACTTCCTGCTACCTCAAATTCAATGCCCCCTAAAATTCAATGCCTTCTTAAATGCACTGCTACCCTAAATCTACTGAATCCTTTTTTTTACCCTGAATCTCCTGCTGCCTTAAATCTTGGCTTTTCCGAGCCAACTTTATTCTTGTTATGAGTACAGCTACTCATACTTTGGCACCCTATTTTTTTGATGGTCTACAGACTGTGTACAGTAAAATGATATTTTTGATTTTTTTTACTTAACGACGCATGTCAAAATAGTGACTTATTTTCTTGTAATTTCTTAATTATGTCAAAATAACAAATTATTACTCTTTGAAAAGTGTTATTATTTAATGTATTATTTGTGTAACTTGCTGAAGAGACATTATCCACATTATCTATGTGAATAAAAGTCTTTCCGGAGTCTCCGGGGACGTCCATCTGTCCATCTGTCCATCCGTCCATCTGTCCATCTGTTTGTGGTGACTTTGAGTTTAGATTTATCAACATGGTTCCATCTAACGACCAAAAACCCCACAGTTCCTCTATTTTCAGGCTTACTTCTCCTTTCTGTCACATTCTCACTCACTCACTCTCTCCCACTCGTCTGTGTTTAGCTTCAGAGCGTTCTATCACTGAGCTGTCAAAGCCCTCAAGATAGAAACTCCACAGCTGTATTAATTTAATGTGATTTATCACAAATGCAGTTTCCCTTTGATTATATCTTTGGCTACCATTTCTTGGTTATATCAACCCCCACTCTGTCTGTGCCTTTCTCTCTTCGTTAGAAGCTGCTGTGTTTGCCTACCTGGGTGTTGCTAGATGATTTAATCCGGATGTTTTTCTACCAGACTGAATGGGACAGTCAGCAAGTGCCCAAAGCTCTCCGGCGCCTCCGGCCCCCCACGCGGAAAGTGTAGGAACATTACTCTTTACAGTTACCTTCTTACTCTACTGTGTTGCAACAATTACATAGACAAAGTCAATTATGAAAATATGTTGTTGTGATTTTTTTATCACATTTATTTTTTTTTAAACACTGATTTATTATTATAATTTTCACTGTATTTTAGTCCCGGCTGCACCAGAATTTCATATTAAATCACTAACATTTCCTCTTTACCCGACTTTTACCCTGATTTTAGCACCGATTCTCAGGCTGGCTGAGTCTGTGCAGGTCGGCTCTAGTCTGCAGACTCAGATTTTTGGCCTCCTGATCGCGTTTTAGAGTCGGAGTTTATCAAACATCTTTGATTTTTTTGACCTGAATCTATTGTAAACTGATTAACGACTTAAGTGAAGATCATGGATTTAAAAATGTGATCAGTTTGGTATTTTTAAGAGTTTTAAATGGACATAAACTCGATTGTGCCTTCAGCTGAGCTCATTAAAAAGCTTCACTCCACATGTGAGAGACGTTTCATCATTTTTCTTTGTTTACTTACTTGCTTCTTTCGCGCTCTCAGTTTTCATTGGCTGTTGCAGGAATCGGTTCAGATTGAGTCGTTGATCAGTTTACACTAGATTTCGCTGAGTTGGGTCAAAAAAATCAAACAAGTTTGATAAACTGTGACTCTGAAACACGATCAGGAGGCCAAAAATCTGAGTCTGCGCCCCTCACATGCGACTCGACTCTCTCACCAGCTGTCGACTCCAACTGACCCAAAAATCTGCAGACTAAAGCCAACCAGCTCAGACTCAGCCAGACTGAAAATCGGGGTAGAAGTCGTGTAGTGTAACCCCGGCTCTAGTTGGCTTTAGTCAGCAGATTTTTGAGTCGACAGTCGACAGAGAATTGAGTCGTGTGTGAGGGGCGCAGATTTTTGGCCTGATCGCGATTCAGAGTCGGAGTTTATCAAACATCTTGACCTGACTCTATCAAAAAAAAAAAATCTAGTGTAAACTGATCCGTGACACAATCTGAACAGATTCCTGCAACAGCCAATGAAAACTGAGAGCGCGAAAGAAGAAAAGACAGCAAGTGAACAAAGAAAAATGGCAAAAAGTCACATGTGGAGTGAAGCTTTTTAATGAGCTGAGTTTAAGGCACAATAGAGTTTATATAATTTTAAAACTCCAAAAAATACCAAACTGATCACATTTTTAAATCCATGATCTTCACTTAAACATGTTTACCTGCTGCTTCTTTACTGTATCGGTGCAAACGGCAGAGAAAACAGCAGCAGCAGCTCCACGTTTGTTTATTTGCGTCTCCGAGTAATGGGAGAACGCAAGAGTTGGAGTTTAGTGAGTCCCGTTCGGTTCAGCAGCAGCTGAGAAGTTGAGTAGTGTGTGATCTCTAATCACTTAGTGTGGATCCCCAATATTTTGCCAACAAAATCTGCAAAAAACAGTCTGATGGTGTGAGACGCCCAGTCTTTTATAATCTGTTAAGACTTTAAAAGTCGTGTAGTGAACCCAAGGCTCTAGGAACGGTGTTGCCAGACTCTGCTATAGGGGATCGGTTTCTGAACTTGCCACCATTTTTTCACTGCTCATTAGTTTTTATCTATTATCTTCTTAACAGCTCGTCACGTCTCCGCAGAAACATTTTCACTTAGGTAACTGTGTGTGGATCTAGAAAATGCATTTCATTGACACTTGTGTTGAACATGGTCCAGATTAGTGATACAAAGAAATGAATATCCAAAAAACAGAAAAACCAAAGAAACATTCATTCATTATCTAAGCCACTTATCCTCCTGGGTCGCGGGGGTTGCTGGAGCCTATCCTAGCGCTCATTGGGTGGAATTTAAGGTGTGCTGATGCCTCAAACAGTTACACAGTTATTCAGTTTTCAAGACAGTGTGATTTACTGGGCTAATGGTAACGAAACCCTCCGAGATCTGGTTTAAGTTTTGTCTCGAAGCAGAAACGTGGAGCCGTATATCACAAAGAAACGTTGGAAACATTTACACTTTTCATATGAAACGTTTCTTAATGATATCTATTTATTTTGTGAAGTGGCTTAGTTGGTATAGTCGACCATGTCTCATTGTCTGTGTGTCTGCTGCTCATAAACAAAACCCACAAAGACCTTCAGCCACGTAATAATGTGGTCATCCACAACCTAGCTGAGGAAATAATTGTTCCTTATGTCATATCCGTTATTTACGCAAGTTCCTCCATTCTAATGATGCACGCAAACGCTACTTGACTACTAATAGCACCCCCTTGTAGAGAACCCCTAGCTTGCTAAACTGTGAGTTTGCAAGCCATTAATTTATGAGGTCCCTCACAGATTTATTTATATGCAAACTGAGATGTGATCGAGACAAAGCAAAGTAGATGGGAAATAAGATGACAAAGCAGCTGGACAGTTCATATTATCCATAGATATATGTAGATGCCGCGTTGGGTCCTGCCAGGCACATCAACAGTGCCGCCATTTTAGGCCAGTCAACATCGCTGCTGGACTGCATTCAGTACCATTACAGAGCAGCAGTTTAATAAAGATACTGTCCAAAATTACACTGTTTAAAGAATATTACACTCAGAAAGTGTGATAGGATTATATAACGGAGGGAATGCAGTGATCCACACTCATGTCTGTGTGGTGTTTATGTAGATATGGCCGTGTGGTTAATGAGGCACAGAGAACCTGTTGATGTGATTGTTTTTCCTCTGGTTTTATATTAAGCTTATTTCATTTAATAGTCTATTCAGGATCTTAACTTTATGTAGTGGTTATTTATTTAGAGTGATGGTTAAAGCTGTGTAGCTGGGTAAGTTACAGCATTCCTTAATCCGTGTAGATATCCATAATAGATTAGCGTTAGAATCTTCTTACACGAACCTAAAGTCAGCTTCTTATTTGCCAGCATCTTGTTTAGATTTTCCTGTTCCACCTTAAATGGTGCAGCTTCAGGCACCAGAAAGTGACTGCTACACCATTTAAGGTGGAACGGGAAAACTCGAACAAGAAGCTGGCAAACAGACGTATCGCCTCAGACAGAGAACAGCAGACAACGAGGTATCTAGGTATGTATATCTATGATATTATCAGTATAACCCTAAAATGACCTCACTTAACCAGCCTCTTCAAAAACACAATCAGCAGATAACAGTGAATATATGAAATCCAGCAAAACGACATGAAGATCACAACAACCAGGATAACTGGATTACATACAGCAATAACAAATCAGACTGGTACAACCAAAAGAGGTGAAATGAAAATGCCATAGTGGAAAAGTTCTTTGGGGATACTCACTAAAACTGGACTTGACAATGGCCACTCAATTGGTCAGGGCTGTTTTCAGCAGCGCCTTGAACCAGTATTTTTTTTCACAGCAATGCGCTAAATCTGATATAGAGATTTTCTTGAGTTTCTTGCTGTTATAAATATAATTTATAAACTAGCATTGATTTTTTTTTGACCCCTCAGCCAGTTCAACATGGTTATTTCTGCATTTTTGCTTGTGGTAACTGCTATGGCGCGTTTCAGGGCCCATAATGGACCAAACGTTCCCGGGTGGGTGAAGTGTTTCTGTTGTTTAATCAAGGTTTTTAAATTCTGATTGATATGCTAAGCAGAAAGTTCACCAGCATCAGCTAAATTAATGCTAGCTAGCTAAATGAATATATAGTCTACACCGCCACCTACTGTAGCATAGCTGGAGTTTCTCAACCTGCGGGCTGCGGACCACCAGTGGGCCGTGAAGCACTCTCTAGTGGTCCGTGGGCCTGAACTCGGGGGAGGTAGTAGTTCGTAGTGGGCCAGTAGAGGTATAAACCAAAACATCGCAGTCGCAGGCTAATTAGACATGATCAGTTTCAGACAATGCAGCCGTCGGTCAGAGTTAGTCGGAGACAGAGAGGTTCCTCACGGCGTTTCTCCTACCTTTTCCGGTGCGGACCTGTCAAACTATCGAAGTCTTTAGTTCGCTCCGTTTTGACGTGTGTGAACTCCACCCGTATTGAGGTCTAAAACAAACAGCTGAAACCCGATCTCGATCTGCTTCCAACCGAACCCTGTTCAGTTCACTGCTGGTGGGATTCCTCTTCTTCTACCAGCACGTCAGCGCTGTACCGTCAGTATAATCTACCTGTTTTAACGTCTGGCTTATTGCTCTCATATCGTTCCTGCGGCTGATAAAAAACGACAGACGAGCCATGAAACAATAGCTGTGATCTGTGTTTGATTTCTGGCTGAGCATCAGCGACCTGAGTAGTTAAACTCAACTTAATAAACTAATGACAAAGAAGCCGATGTCAAGTAAAGTCTATTATTGTTGTTGGGTGTAGAGACGCTGATCCAGAAGCGTGAGTGGAGTGAGGTTTATTTCAAATGAGGCACTTAAACCCTCAAAACTAAAGAGACTCCAATCCAAACAGTGACTCCTGTGGGAGCCACAAGAGTATTTTCAGTGAAATCGCGATGGACTGCAGGTCCAAATCACAGTCCAATCTACATTTACCCTTTTTCTTTTTCCCCTTGTTTGACATCTCTGCAAACTTTTTTTTTTTTAAACTTAACTGCAAATTTTGGTTTCTGTGACTGAAGTGAAATGGACGGTTTAATCTTTTTCAGGCCCTAACTCAGTTTTTCAGTGTGAGCAATTAAGAAAAATAATTAAGAAAACTATTAAAAAAAAGTTGATTTTAGTTTTTCTGTGGGCCGCTGTGCTTTACAGTTATAACTAGGTGGGCTTTGGGCTGAGAAAGGTTGAGAACCGCTGCTGTAAGGCAGTGTGAGGATGAGTAGGTTGGGAGAAAGCAGCATAGAGTATATCGCTGCGGTCGGGACAAAACCTTGTATCTCCATTTTTGTTGTTTAATTTGAAAATGCCTGTTGTCCTTTACATCATGTGTAAATTCCATGAAGAATGGACTGAAAGAAACATCCTCAAATGGCTTGGAAAAAAAGTCTGTTTCCATTGACTTACATTAAAAGTAAAGAAGGTTTTTTCCTTCTCCTGTAAAGTTACCGTTTTGGGGATACGAGGTTTTGTTCTGACAGCAGTGATATGTTCTTTTTTCTCTACTAGAGCAGAGCTAAATGAAATGAAGTGTGTTTTAGATCAGAACTGCAGCCCTGTGGTGACAGTTCTGGTGTATGTTGGAGAGGTCAAGATCCACTTGTGAACAAACTCACTTGTATTGAGAGACGAAGAGTCTCAGGATTAAATCAGCCACTTCCTTAATACTCAGCCGATTTTCCTCAGATACAGATTAATCTAGTCTGCACTGACGGCTCTCGGTAGCTTTTATATCTTTAATAACTGATTGTGATAATTAGCCGTCCGGACCAGCAGGAAAGTATTCAGTCTGTACCTGACGTTAAAAACCGAGTTTAGAGTAAAAACACAAACTCACACACATCAGCAGATCCATCAATGTGTGAATCACTTCCAATCTTAATTTGTGTCCAGCCTAGTTACAGTCTCCACAACAGAACACGTTTGTGGGCGGAGCATTGATAGATTTAAAATCTTCAAAGAAAGGACCTCTTTCATTCACCGAGGCCTCACTGGCACCTAACAAACCGAATGCTTGTTAATTAATTAATTGGGGTTTTAGATCATTTTTAGAAGGTTGGAAATTATGAAAGAGGATTTTATGAATCCTAAATGTGGGACCCTTTTAGCCTCGTCGCTGTCTGGTGGCTCAGAGGCAGTGGGCAGCGTGTTTAAGTCAGAGTGTTAAACAGTCTGTAGGAGAGAGTCAGACAGCTTTATATAATCAAACCCCCACAGAGCCTCAGTCTCACTGTTCTCTCAGTGTGGATCTGTGACTGTTATTCAGGTTACATTTACATTTACATCTCTCTCTCTCTCTCTCTCTCTATATATATATTTCTCTATCTCTCTCACTCTGTTTCTCTCTCTATTTCTCTCTCTCTCTCTCTGTCTTTCTCTCTCTCTCTCTCTTTCTCTCTGTCTCTCTTTCTCTGTCTCTCATTATATCTCTCTCTCTCTGTATCTCTGTCTGTCCATCTCTCTCTCTCTCTCTCTCTCTATCTCTCTCTGTCTCTCACTCTCATTCTCTCTTTCTCTATCTCTCTCTCTTTCTTTCTCCCCTCCCTCGTTATCTCTTTCTCTCCTCCTCTCTTTTTTCTTTCTTTTTCTTTCTTTCTCCCCTCCCTCTTTCCCTTTTTCTCCCCTCTGCCTCTTTTTCTCTCTCACTCTCATTTTCTCTTTCTCACTCCCCTCCCTCTTTCTCTCTCTCTCTCTCTCTCTCTTTCGTATCTTTGGCTTTTTCTCTTTTTCTCTTCTTCTCTCTTGTTATCCCTCTCTCTCTCTCTCTCCCTCTCCCTCTCTCCTCTCTCTCTCTCTCTCCAGAAAAACGCAGAAGCCCAAAACGGACCTTCTCTCGTCCCCCAGAGCGGAGGTACAGTAATTGTTTCCTTGGTAACCCTTTTCTCTGCGAGCCCACACACACGCTCGTGCCAAAACACTCTGAGAACAGCTCCAACATGTGGTCGGAGGGTTACGACACACAAACCTACACTTTTTTGGAAGTAAGTGCAATCGTAGAGCAAAAGTAGCTCAGTCACGCTCCCCCACACACACGCACACACACACACACACACACACTCTTCTCTCGATCTGCTTCACTTCACCACCAGCTCGTGATTTTCAGCTCCAGCGTGAGACTGAATGGCTACAACACACAAACCTACACTTCAAAGCTGTGGAGTGCAGTGGCTCTCCCACACACACACACACACACACACACACACACACACACACAGGTGATGGAGTCTATAGGCTGAACAGTGACTTACTTGTGAGCTGTTAGCCACATGTTAGTGGTGAAGCCATTCTCTGTGTTCTTTTTGGGGTTTTCCAAAGCGTGTGGTGCAAACTGAGTTGCGCAGGATATAGAGGAAGCTGTGAGTGTGGGTTGGGTGTGAGGCCTGCGAAATATATCATTTGTTATGTTGGTCTTTGCAATACTGATATCAGAGAAGGCCGTGATTTGCAAATGAGCCTTCTAACCTTAAAGGTTCTTTATTGTCATGTACGTAAAATGCCGTGAAATTCTTAGTTGTATATTGTTCCTTACAGACTTCAGCACAACTGCTGAACAGGATTAGGCACAAGACAGGACAACATTGCATACAAACACACATGGGTCAATGACAAATAAGGTAACAAATAAAGTTAAAATCTTTATGAAATCTTATTTTAAAGGTGATGTGAGTATGTATTTGCATTTATATCTGTGTGTATTTTTATTTTAAATATAGTTAGTGTTATTCAAGCTTTTAATTGCTTTTTGTTCAGTTATTAAACTGTTGGTCTGGTTGCACCATTTGGTTTACTGGTTGCGCCACCTGACTTTTCAGACTAATTTTAAATTCAACAGGCATCTGCTTAGACACCTGTAGAAACTTTTGTCCTTAAACTTGAGGTCATACTTGTTGTGCCACCTGACAGTTACGGAGGTAAGAACTTTGTGCCACCTGACAGTTGCGGAGGTAAGAACTTGCAGACCAAAGTTTTTCAGTCAAGTTGCCTTTTGAAGTTGCCTTATTTTTGAAGTTGCCTTATTTTGCAACATGGTTTTGATTTTACAGTTTTCAAACCTAAAATTATAAGAAGCTTAATTACTTAATTAACTAAATTACTTGTTTTCATAGTTTAGTTAATACATATATGGTTGGACGGTTGCAGTACCTCTCATTTTTAGACTTTTGGAGGCAAAAAGAAGCTAAAATAAATTTTATGTAGATGCACTGAAAATTGTTTTACATAAAAGAGGTATTGTTGAATAATTTGATATATGTCTGTGTCATGCGGCCATCCCCTCGGGCCCCACCGACGGCCGTGAGAGCCAGGCAGGAAGGCGGGGCATGGACACAGAGCTCAGATGAAACCCTGCGAAGACAGCGGGGAGAGGATGGTATCCACGAGGAAGTTAGGGACGGTGCACCTCCGGTCCTGCGAGGCCACTTTAATTTGCCCCACATCCGATTCTGGAGGACCAAGGCAGAGCAACAAGCTCTCATTCCCTCTCTGGAGTGGGAATCTCAATGGTTCTCTTTATAGTGCGCCTAGTACCTATTGGAATAGCATATCGCTGCTGTTGGAAGAAAACTCCGAAATGGTAACTTTACAGGAGAAGGAAAAAAACATACTTTACTTTTAATGTTAGTCATAGAACCAGACTTTTTTCCAAGTAATTTTGGGTCATTTCTGTTGGATCATTCATTATGAAATTTACACATATCCGCCCCCTTGACTGCCCTGTTGTGGCTCCACAGCAGAATTAGATTTTTAGGTAAAAATAAAATAATCTTGCTTTGCAGTAAAATAAAGCTCTGCTGATTGTTCAACACAGTTTTAACAATAAATAGTTCAAAACGCTGGAGCTAATGAAAAACTGCTAATTCACCCTTTAACCCTGATGATTGACATGCACTGATAGCCACTATAGCAACGACAACAATCTGGCCTAGCTAGCAGCTAACGAAACGGCAAAGAGAAAGATTTAAGATGAACATCGATAATTTGGTGACTTATTTGAAATTTCCTGATACGTTTAATCTGCAGTGAAAAACTGTAAACACTATAAAAAGTTGCAAGGCTGAAGTCAGCTTCCCGTTCGCCAGCTTCTCGTTCGAACTTTCCCATTCGACCTTAAATAGTGCAGCAGTTCTAGTAGCGAATGAGAAGCTGACTTCAGCCTCGTAAAAAGTCGGACATTGAGAGACATTTTCCAAGAAACTGTTCTGCTTTTGTGGAAAAGTTTCCTGCTGGAGATGCGAGAAAAGCGGCTATAGCTGAGCTAAAGCTTAAAGCAGAACAAAGGTAGTCTGTGTTTTCATTTCTATTATATTTTTAGCCTGTACTAGTACTACCAAGGCATATTTACAGCCAAGATGGTCAAATGGACATAAAGTGTTGTGGTTTAATTTTTGTTGAAGGACAAAATGGCTGTTCTTAACATTTGGGTACTTTCAAATTATGTCAAAAACTCAAAAACGACCAAAATGGAGATACAAGGTTTTGTTCCGTCAGCAGCGATACGCAAGTTAAAGTGAGTGACTTAGTGCATATTAAGCCAACTGATGGCTTGGGGATAGAAAGTGTTTCTGAATCTTGTGGTTTAAGCACCGTTTCCCAGATGGAAGAAGAGTAGTGTGTGTGCAGGTGGAGTCTTTCAGCATGCAGCGTACACAGTAAAAGTCCTGCAGTGTAGGGAGTTGTGTTCGGCTTATTTCCTGAGCCGTCTTCGTCCCCATTTACAACGCTTTGCCATCTTGTGCTGCAAAACCAGGATAAGCTGCACAGTGCACCTGTAGAAGTTGGTGAAGCACTGTTTGATATGTCCCCTCCTTCTTCAATCATCTGAGATAGAAAAGGCATTGGTGAGCCTTTGTAACTGTGGCTCCCTCTCCACAGCTCCCCCTCCGCTGTAGATGGGGGAGTAGTCTGCCTCACGCCTGCTGAAGTCAATGACCAGTGAAATGACATTGATATTACCATGATATGACATTGAAGGACAGGTTTTTGTCCCGGCACCAGTCTGACCTCGTCCCTATAGGCTGTCTCATCATTAATATAGATCAGGCCCACTACAGTGGCATCATCAGCCTGCTTAATGATGGAATTTGAGCTATGTGTGGACTGGATACGCAGTCGTAAGTGAACAGGGCCTATCACTGCTTTGTGGGGCCCTGTGTTGAGAAACAGTGTGGATAAGATGTTGCTTCCAGTCCTCACATGCTGGGGTCAGTGAAAAAGTCCAGTGTCCAGTTGCAGAGGGCCGTACTCAGCCCTAGATCCAGTTCGAATTGCACAGCAGTATTGAATGCTCAGCTGTTATCCACAAGCAATAGCCAGGCAGAAAAGTCTTTATTGTCCAGGTGTGCCAAAGCATTTTTGTTGACATGTTGGGCCTAATCCTCACATATTACCTCTGTGTGGTGTGAGTGCGGCGGCATCGTAAGCGGTAGAGCTGGAACGCCTTTCATACATATTCAGACTCTTTTTTTTTCAGTCGGATAAATGGTCACACCAGTCACTCTGCTCAATAAAAATATCATTTATAAAAAAAGTGCACAATATGTTTGTTTATCCTCAACAGCATTCTGACTTGTGATTAGGCAAAGGTTTCAGGCCTGTTGGACCAACCGAGAAATCTGTCTGCAGTACCGAATGTTTTACTAGTATTTAGTCATGAATTAAATTAAAAGTTTGTACACGGTTTCCTGTTTAATTTGAACAGATTTTTTAATGTTTATTTTATTGTATTTTCCTGCGTGGCATGCAGAAAAAATCTGATTATGTCATTGCATTTGTATCTGTGCATTTCATATCTTAAATATAGTGAGTGTTATCAAAGCTTTCAGTTGCCTATGTCAGTTATTAAACTGATGATCTAGTTGCACCATTTGACTTACTGGTTGCGCCACCTGACTTTTCAGACTAATTTCAAATTCAGCAGGCATCTGCTTAGACACCCATAGAAACTTTTGTCCTTGAACTTGAGCTCATACTTTTATTTTTTTTCACTTGAGGTCTTGTTATTGATGCAATATCCTGGCCCCTCTTTTGTAAAAACATATCAAAATAAAAGTCCTTTGTTTTTGGTTGTGCCACCTGACAGTTGCATAAGTAAGAACTTGTGGACAGAAGGTTTTGGGAGGTTCAGCACTTTTAAAGTTGCGTTAATTTGCAACATGATTTTGATTTTAAAGTTTTCAAAGTTTTATATAACTAAATTACATGATTTCATAGTTTACTTAATCAACATAAAGGGTTGGATGGTTGCACCACCTGGCATTTTTAGACTTTTGAAGGCAATTTTATATAGATGCACTGAAATTGTTCCACATAAGTGGGATTGTAATATAATTTGATATATGTCATATGTTCAGTTAAAATCTGCACCAGCTCTGTTCTCTAAATACCGCGCCTCTTTACTGCGGCATCTGGGAATGCTCTGCCACGATGCATGCGCAGCGCTGACCAGTTAACATGGCCACCAAAATCAAAAGCAAGACTTGCCATGTTTCCATCACCGCTTTCTCATTTTTTCCATTGAGAGAAACTGCTTAGACTGGGTGTGATGACGAGTACAGAAACTGCTTAGACTGGGTGTGATGACGAGTACAGAATGACCCTCAACGTCGGAGGTCTGTTTATATTTAACAGGCTTATTGCAATCGCAGTATGTAGCAATATAATGTCAGTACTGGTTTACTGTATATATCTGATGTAAAAGCAGAAGTGGCTGTAGTGAGTTGGTTGTGGCTGGTCAGTCAGTGTGCGCTAGTGATGTAATCTTCCTCTCTCTCTTCCACGTCTGTAATCCCTCTCTCTCACTCTCTCTCTTCCTCTCTCTCTCTCTCCCTCTCTCTCTCTTCCTCCCTTTTCCTG